ATATATATATATATATAATAAAATAACCTGCTACTTACTACTTGTACTAAGATTCTTGGTTTTTCATTTATCGCGGGTCTTCAGGGTACGGATCCCCCGCGATAAACGAGGGACTTGTATAGAATGATGGACTCCAGATAGTTTGGAATTGACCTTTGACCCTTCTCAGATTGAGGGTCAGTCTCTCTGAGGTCATTGCTGATGTCTTTCTGCCCTGGTGTTGTGCTAACACACCTGTTCACTTCAGAGCAGCAACCTGAAAGGTAGTGGCCTTTCTTTTTCCCACGACTGTGGCTCCTGGGAACAAACTTGACCCGATCCGTTCCTTTTGATCTCGTTTACAAGAATAAGAAAATGTTGCACGAAGCAGGTTTAGCGGACGGCCATGAACCCCACCTTTGTGAGTCCGCCTTGTTCTTGTTTTTAATGGTATTCTGAAATCAATTTGTTTAAATTGCCTCCATTTAACTTGCCGAAGTACTGAAAGAGATCCCTATCGCGGTAATTACGGAGAATGATTGGGGCCGATTCATTATGCATAAGAGGATCCGAATGTTAAACAGGGAGCTGTGTGAGAGGGAGATGTGGGAGATAGAGCTTAGCATGGCTGTGACCTCCAACTCCACGGCTCGAGGCCCAGCGGCTCTCTTTTATCTGAGGGACCACATGTTCCAGCCTGCTCTCACATGTTGAACGTCACACGTGTCTGTTTTCTGTCTCCGTCCAGTCTCCCGCTTCTCCAGTCCAAGGCTGACGCCCCGGCTGAGCAGGAAGAGGGCCTTGTCCATCTCGCCGCTGTCAGACGCAAGCATCGACCTGCAGACCATGATCCGCACCTCGCCCAACTCTCTGGTGGCCTACATCAACAACTCCCGCTCCAGCTCGGCCGCCAGCAGCTCCTACGGACACCTGTCAGTCGGAGGGATCAGGTGTGGAAACGGTTCGCTGTCGGTCAGCTCGAAAACACGAAACCAGAACTAAAGTCCTCGGTCGTCTCCGTTTAGTGTCCTTCCACTCGTCCAGTTCTCCAGCTTTCAGTTTTTCTTTGGACTTCGGCTGCGGTTTTAACCGTTTCAGTTCCTGTACCTGAACATTTTCAGAGGTTAACTCTGACCTCTGACTTATAAAGAGGCTCCTAAATTCAAGACGTGGATCAGAGTTCTGTCGTCACATAGAGTCCAACGTAAGCCTAAATACGTCCACATTGGTCCCTAATGACAAAACATCGACTGCCCAAAAGATGCTTTAAGTAAAAAATATTTGTCTTTGCCTTCTAAATTCATTTTCAGATCCAGTTCATCTGGTTTAATTTGAGCTATTTGACCTTTTGTAACCAGTTTCCTTGCATTTACTGTAAAAATTGATCACAAATTAAATTGTTTTTTGGCGTAAAAGGCTGAAAACGTTCTCAGTGTTTAAAGAAAACCTTTAAGATGTGTCTCTTTAAAACATATTTTTAACATATTTAACATTGAAAACTTCTCCTTTTTTTAAAAAAAACCTCTCTTGACCTTTTTGTGTATCTGCCAGACTCTTTCACATTTGTTAGCATCAGAACCCTTCAACCTCACCGGCTTGCATGCAAAGTTTGGGACGACTCTCAGCTACTACCACACCGATCTGTAGCTCAGTTTCTGTAAAACTGGCTGCTTTGAGTATTTTTGTGTCGCTAACGTCGATGAGCTGCGGCAGCCATCTTGACCCTTGACAATAACAGTTCTAGATGTTTTTCAAAGATTTTTTCTGAGAATGTCATGAGATATTTTGCTAAAAGTCATGTGTAATAACAGCTGTAATGATTCCTACCATCTCTGCTGGTGCGTTTCATTAAATAACCGTCTCTCTGCTCTCCCCCAGCCCCACGTTCAGCTTCCCCCACCCCATCAACCCCGTGGCCTATCAGCATCTGCTGTCGCAGCAGAGAGGCCTGAACGCCTTCGGCCACACGCCTCCTCTGATTCAGCCGACGCCGTCCTCCTTCTCTGCCCGCCAGCACCCGCTGAGCGCGTCGCCCATGTCGGCTCACAACAACTCCGAGACGAGCCAGGTGGGAGAGTTTAAACTCGCAGGTTTTAGTCCATGTTTGTATTTTACATAACGTGTGACCTCAGTTTTAATTTGTTCAACATGAGCTAGACTGACTTATTTTTACTTTTACAGCCGAAGTTGTTGAATATTGATGATCCAACAGAAACACGAGTGTGTTCCGGACAGACTGGGCTTTATAAAAAATGCTGAATCAAACAAAGGTTTTATCTTAATTTTTACTTTTTCTTTTTACTCCAATGGTTTAAACCTGAACCGATGGACCGTGGGCAACATTTGGCCCGCGAGTTAGCTCAGGACGGCCCACAAGTTTATTTATGTATTCTTTCGGCTGCTCCTTCTTCAGGGGTCACCACAGTGAACTAACTCGCGTGAAGACTTGGTGATTGTTTTATGCCAGATGTCCTTCCTGACACAACCACAGACCACCGAGCTACCACAGCCCTCTGTGTGGAGCAGAGAGCTGGTTAAGGGCCTTGCTCAAGGGCCCAGAGTGGGGCAAATGAGGGTGGGGACAGGTGTGGGTGTTTCACCTTTCCCACCTACATTTTGATGTTGTCGGTCCGTGGAGTCGAACCAGCGACCTTCTGATTACAGGCCCACCTTCTCTAACCTCTGCGCCACCACTCCCCCTAATCATGAAAAATATATTTGGAAGAGAAACGTTTTAAAAAATCAGAAACGACAGATATTTGCATCAGACGTGTGATCTTCATATAGATGATCTCTGGCAGAGCTACCGTACTTTCCACCATACACGTCGCATCAGTCCAAACATGTCTAATAAAGTGGAAAAAACATAAATGCGTCACTTCGCTGTATACGCCGCATCTGTTATGCATCACCACTGACAACCTGGAAATGTGGGCCAGTGTTGTGCCAAAAATCGATTGGCTGCCAAATGGCGGCCGCGGGATCGTGCATGGGAGGACTTTAACAAAAATTTAACAAGATTAACACTTAAAAACAATTTGTTTGCTCAAAATTATAGCAAAGGTGTGTGTCAGTTTAACTTTTCCGTAATAAATGCACTTTAATTGTCAAATCAGCTGCATTTCGCCTGGGCAGCGTAACGAAATGCAGCTGATTTTGACGTTTCCTCCAGGAGTTCTGTAGCGAGACGAAGGTGTCTTGGTACGGCAAGCCAAGTGTCTCATTAATAGCTACTTTTACCTATTAATGAGACACTTGGCTTGCCATATTAGTCGAGGGCCCTCTAGTGGCTGAAAATGGTAGTGTTCAATATTTTCCATGTCAGAATGAATGAAATCATCAGATCTCAGCCAAAAATTGGATTATAAATAATGAAGGAAAAAACTTATAGTAGTCGCTTTAGTGTATTAGTCGCAGGAATTTCAAATTTATGCAAAAAGGTGCGACTTGTATGGCAAAAAATACAGTACATAATTTAGTCTGCCTGCCAACGAGGTACACCTAGTACACCTGAGCTGTTGGTTTTCAGTACCTGTGGCTCCCTGAGCGCTTTAGTTGAATAGTCTCCAGATGTTCCATGTTTTGTCTCATCGGGTTCGTTTCATTCAGTATTCCTTTAATTCTTACCAAACTGTTAAAAGAAGGCTGAGCTGGTGAAGTGTTTCCCACTCTGGGATGCTTCTGGATGAGGATACCACAACGTGAAGACGTTCAGGTGTCATTTGGTTTCTTAATATAAAGCGTCTTGTGCCTGAAGACAGTCCCCGTCGTCCATTGTTCAAATGTTTTGTCTGTAACTGATTCAGTTTAGGTCAAAGTATCGAAGCAGTATTTTTGTAAATAAAGTCTGAGGGCAGTAATTTTCAGCTCCGTCTGTCTCCTGCACGTCTCCAGCTGTAAAGTCTGCAGCCGTTCGTAACGTAAACTTCCGTCCTCACCTCACGGTTACATCACTCGCGCTCCAACAAGCGACATTTCCGCCTTTTTTATTAGATTTTTCAAGCGCTCACAGAAAACACCCCCACATTCACGCAGCTTTATTAGCTCTGATCAGAACCACATTCCCCCTCTTTTTACTCTCCTGCCAATTGAATTAACGACCAAGGCGGGAAGATGTTGCTGGGTGGGATTAGAGGGCCCCCCCTCTCCAGTGTTGGACCTGCTCCAGTACGTGTACAGTTCTCAGTCTTTCCTTTGGAGCTGCAGCAGGCCTTCAGAGTCTTTGTCCTTCTGTCGTGCTCAGAGTCAGCCGGCAGATCAAAGCCTGTAGCCGGGGTAATAACTCTCCTCTCGTATTTTACGGTGGTTTTAGCGACCATAAAGAAGTCTAAACTGTTTAGGTTTGGCGGCGGGTTGGAGTCTGACTCCTGGGCTGCAGTGCCTGGTGCAAACAGGCTTCACTGAACCATCCAGACGCAAATAAGTGATAACGTTTCGATATCCGACCCCCTTTTTCCCGCTGCCTGAGATTTTGAGAGCAGAGGAAAAAACTGAGGACCAACAGAAGGCTTGGCGGATGAATCATTAGCGCCTTATCGTGACTGGACAGAGACATTAATTAATTAGCTAGAGAAATTACATTTCCTTACAATATTCAGTGTGAATGCTAATGTTGAAGAAATGGCAGTAAAACAGCTGAAATGTAGCTGAAATGGAAGGACAAGCCTAAATTAGCAGACGAAAGCTGAAAGAACACACATTCGCTAAAATTGGTTTAAATAAGCGGAAATTAGCACGAAAATTAAGAATAGCTAAAAAAAATAAAATAAAAAAAGCTGAAATTAGCAACAAAAAAATAGCTGAAAAGTAGCTGAAAGAGAGAAGCTTAAACTACAATAAGGAAGTGGAAAGAACTGAAGTGAGGTACAAAATGTGGAATTGGTTGAAAAAGCTAAAACTAGCATTAAAAAACAGCTGAAATAGCAGAAATTGCTGAAATTAGCATAATTACGCTGAAATTAGCAGAAAGAAGCTGATTAGGCTGAAAGTAGCAGAAATTGCCATGAAAACTTGAATTTATTTGAAAACAACTGAAATTAGTTAAAAAATGCTAAATAGGTAGAACAAGTTTAAATTAGCAGAAGAAAGCTGAAAGAAACAGAAATGAGTACAAAAAAGTGGAAATTATCTGAAAAAAGCTGAAATTAGCAACAACAAAAAACAGCTGAAAATTAGCTTTAAAAAAACAGAAAGAAGCTAAAAATACAAGAAGGAAGTTGAGAGAGCAAATTTTTGCTGAATTAGGTAGAAAAAAGTTTAAATAAGTGCAACATATGTAAAAGTAGCTGAAAAGGCTAAAATTAGCATAAGACTGCTGAAACAGTAGAAAAAGCTGAAACTAGCAGAAATAATCTGAAAGCAGCATAACAAGCTGAAATTAGCAGAAAGAAGTTAGAAGAAGCAAAAAATGTAGCTAGCAGAAATAATCTTAAAGAAGCACAAAACAGCTGAAAGTAGCTGAAAAAAGTTTACATTTGCACAAAGAAGCTGAAGCAGAACAAAATGTGAAAGCAGCAGTAAAAGGTTGTAAACACATCTAAAGATTTGAAGGATGTAAAATGAGCTCAGTTCATTTTCTCTGAGGAAAAAAATGGCAGAAAAGATTAAATAGTTCAAAAAGCTAAAGTTGCACCAACACCAAAAGTCACAGCAGGATTGTCCTGAAAGAGCTGAACGTTTTGATACATGATTTGTTGGAACGGCACAAAAACTGCGGGACGAGAATCGTGCCGAAAAACATACGGAAGAAAAATGGATCACAATAGAGTGAATGCTTCATAAACGTTCAACAATTAATGTGATGTTCTGCCTTTTCTCCTGCTTCCAACAGAAAACACGTCCATTAACTTTTATCGTCTTTATTTGTTTTTCTGTTCAGAGTGCAGGCGGAGATCCGGCTGTAAGCAGCACCGTCAATCCATTAAACACCAAAAAGTCGAAGGTCAAAACTGAAGCGGAGGGTCCGCTGCCCATTTCTCCATCCTCACAGGTAAAAAAAACAAGAGTAGTTACGGTTGATTGAATAATTAAGTGACCTGGACAGAACAGCGTCTCTGTCACGTTGGTTACATGTAGCCACATCTTTAGTCCAAGTCTCTAATTTAGCTCCAACTGATTCTAGATAACGCAGCTTTAATCAGCGCCAGCTCTTAATCAACGAGATCAAAAACGACTTTTTAACTTAAAAACGATGCAGAATGTTCCTTTCCCGCATGAACTTCAAGTCAAGATGGTTAACACGTGTGCACGTGATGGTCGGATCTGTGAACGTCTTTTTTTTTTGTTTTTTCATCAGGACCATGGCGGGGGGGTCCTGGACCTGAGTGAAGATCTGGATAAAGACGAGTGCAAGCAGGAGCCCGAGGCCGTTTATGAAACCAACTGTCACTGGGAGGGCTGCTCCAAGGAGTACGACACCCAGGACCAGCTGGTCCATGTGAGTACAGAACCAGGGGTCCGAATGGCTGCTGGACAATACTCTGTTCTAGTTTTAATGCTTCAACATAATTAAAATAGAATAAACAAAACAAACTGTGAACAGCGTCCCCATTGACAAAAGTCCTATTTAGTTGGAGCGAGGAGACTCGGCACTGTTTGGATCTCCAGCTCAGACGTCACATCAGAACCATCAAAATTTTCAACAGAGCTCAGAATGTTGGGTTTACGTTTGGTGTCATATGCAGATCAACACAAGGTCAACACAAGGTCGACAATGCAATGAAATGCTCCGGACGAGAAGAACCATCTCGATTCACCAATAAAAACAAGAGGAGGAGATACCAAAGCATGCAACAAAAATCCACAAACAAGGTGCCAAAAGTGAAAAAGAAATACATCTACAGCAGAATGGTCCTGTTAGCAAAGTGGTTCTGTTGGCATTGAGGTTCTGTTAGCAGCATGGTCCTATTAGCAGAGTGGTTCTGTTA